AAAAGTAATGCCGGCCAGCTTCGGCCAGCTGCCCAACCTCTCAAGAACAGAAATGTTAAAAGCCACAGTTCCAGCTTGGAAAAGTACAGTGTTAGCAAATCTCCCCTGTTTGCTTAGGTTCTCAAAGTCCTATTAGGTTCACTTTTCCTCTCAAGTTGCTGCACCATGCTTTAAGACCCTGTGAAACAGGTTTCTCACTGTTAGCTCCACGTGTGGGTGGATGCTAAAGAGCCTTGTCTCTAGTGAATCCTCACCTGATATAAAAATGAGCTACAACATGATTGTATTCCGTCTGAGAATTGGGCTATACTCGATATTATAATGCTGGCATCACACTATTAAAAATGAATGATCGTGCCATGTAGCAGCTCTTGAGTGATCCAGCTTGGTTCCTCGGGAAACAAACTCAGCACCCAGAAAGAGCTACCACAACGCTTCTTCCTCACGGAGCATCCTGAGCACCCTGGCTCGCTTCTACCTTCCTCCATGTCAGAGGGCAGGCTGTGTTCCCAGCAAAGTCCAACCTAGCTGACAAGCCTCTAAGTGATCTCACTGATCTTAAATGAGGAAAAATGATTGGGTTTAGGATTCAAAAAAGTGAAAAAATTTCACCCTTCCACCCTTCTCTACCAAAGCCCAGGTATTTAAATTGAGTGTGATTGCAACTGGACAAAAACAAAATGATACAACCAAAACAAACTGAATAATTTGATTACCTGGGATTTCAATCTCGTCATTGTGAATTCAGGTTAAAGAAGATGGGAAAGAAGTTACATTTCAGAAAGTTATTTATCCACATGCTTTTGCCTTGCCCTCGTTTTTGTGTCCTAAAGGCTTTGTGAAGTCATTATCTAAGGATTATATACTTTTCTGACCAATTATCTTTGAATTCTTTGAGGGGCAAGTAGGTTCCTGCCTGTGCGATATAGTATAGCTGGCCTACACAGTCTCACTTATGCTCTAACCATTAGTACAGGAACACAGCTCTGTATTTCAAGCTGAAAAAATGTGCATTTAGGTTCTGATTTTCTGTTGTTCCTTTCCTTTCCACTTCTAATTTGTGTGCACGCATATCCACTCTTCACAGATACCCAATTATATCAGAATTTCCTCCATCATGTGATATCACAGAGTTGTATACTATAGAACTCTTCTGAGAGCCTGTATCTTGTTAAAGCACTTCTCTCTACTACTTTCCCTTGATATGCTAGTGAGACACGTGCTGTCCTTCGCTCTAAGGCTTCTTTCCATTTGTTAGCTGAATAAAATGATTCCTGCTTCCAACAATGATTACTGCTACAACACAGAAGCATCCAGTTTACCAAGGATGCAAATGCAGTTCATTTTTGAGAGCAAGAGATGGGCATTGAGTGTTATTAAAACTTGAATGACTTTAAAGACATTTAATTAGTCCTCAAAAGATGAATTTGTTTCTAAACTTCAGACAACCTGGTATTTCTTATGTGACAGGCTATTATATTTCAGACACTTCTGAAATGCATCACTCAGTCCTCACTGTGCTGACATTCACTGTTCTTTCTTCATCCACACTTCCATGTCAGATGTCATTGTGACAGACTGCCCCTCTGCTGCCATCACACGGCAACAAAACGTAATGAATATTGATAGGAAGAATCAGCCTCCACTGCTGTACCTCTGATATCATGGGCCAACATAATAAAATAGGAGGCATTACTTTCAGAGCCTTCCAGAAATTTTCTTGCAAATCTGTGCAGTTTGTCAGCTTCCACTGTGCACTCAGTGCAGATGAAGCCATGCTCTTGACCAGGTGCTGGTCCTAATGACAGGGAACCAGGGGTACTGAGATGTCAGGGAACAGCTGGAAGGGGTCTTCAGCAGGAGATCCAGGAGGAACATACATTTCCAGATGTGAGGAACCTCAACATCTTTCACGCAGGATGAACTTAGATCCCAAGTTACCATACATCTGGCATGTTTTAGTGTTAAAAAGTAAACTTGGATTTGAGAATTTGGGATTTCTCTGTAGCATGTGAATGTCTTTCCAGAGCTGTCTGGAGAAGGAGTTTGTTCACAGATTGCTACAGCTATTAATAAATGTCATTAGTAATATTTTTTGCTTTATTAAGCAAAATAGCATGAATTCTTTCCTCATAAATTGTAACAGGAACTCCTCCCTGTACAGTCCTCTGGCTGACAAGGATTGTAGGTCTAATTATTGGAACATGTGCTTTAAAGTGTTTTAGTGTCATGTATTCCTTCAGTTGTATTATACTGTAAACTTGCGCCAGAAATAACACTATTAAAGCTTCCATTCAAAACAAAGATCAATCAAAGACACAAGCAATTATTTCATTATCCTTAAGAAGCTCATAACATAATGAAAGGAATGTTAAAAATAAACGAAATGGGTGTTCTTGATTGAAAGATCAGGCATAATGACTTTACTCAGAGAGTAAAAAATTAACCAGAATTAAGTTTTCGCAGTTCTGAATGCATTATGGATTCTCTGTTTCTAATGATTAATTAGGGAAAGCTTTCTCCAATATTAAACTAAGAGTGAAAATAGTAACAGTTGTACCTGAGTAGAAGCAAGGGTGAAGATTGAAAGCCAGAATTGCAGTCTTGCAGAGCAGAAGGGGTTGGATAACATTAGGTTTGCCTAAACCCTCTCAGAGTCCTCAGCCCAGGGGCTCAAGGACAGGCCAAGTTGACGGGCAGCAGCCTGAGGATGTGGATCCCTTCCAGCTCAAGACATTCAGTGATCCTACAAGGTCAGATGTGAAAGGAAGAAGCAGCGTGGAAGGACATCAGAGAACTTTTGTATTACAAAAGTCTTCCCAAGAAACTGCAAAAAGAAAAATCCAGACAGATAAGAGATGGAAGCTTTTCTCTCCCCTCAGTCATCTATCCAAACCTGACTTGTGTGAACTGAAATGGGAAAGACCAGCTGAGACTTCTTTTGTTGAATACTAAATAGGCTATGGTAGCACAGCGATGGCAAAGACCATAGAGTTCCAACAGGCATCCACAGAGCCTTGACTTCCAGAAACAAAATCCCACTTGGTGTTACTGCATCCCAACATGGTGCCATTGTTGGTTTAACCAGTTTGTCAATCCATACAACCAGTTCATGCTGCTTTAGTTGTATAAATGAGTATTAATAGGTTGTCTTGTATATAGATGAGGCAGCTGAATATGTATCATGCTTTCTTCCCGACCCTTTGCATCCTTTTCTGTTGTTTCTTTCTCTCAAGGAGGCCTTGTGGTAACAGTTCTTTTCATGTGTTAAAATTGTTGTTTCTCTAACTCAAAATACTGTGTGTTTTCAAAAGCTTAGTATGGAAGATATATTTCTAAGTCATGTTTCTTTTAGCGAACACTAAATGTTGGCTGTAGACAGCAGTAGACTCAGGATTTGGTAGTTAACCAGTACAAATACTAAACCAGGCAAAGTCTGTCATCACATAAGAGACAGCTTTCAACTTTGCTAAACATCTTTCTACTTACAAAGTTAATGGAAACCAGTCACAATGATAAAATCTGTGACTGTCTTAAATAGAAAGAATTCTTGGTTCTTTGTGGTAGAAAAAAAGACTGGAATTTAAATTCTTGGGTTTTCCCTCCTCATTTTTAATTCCTTTCATTTGATTAAAAGACTTTTAAAAATGAACAGTCCAATGAAGGGAGAAAATAGAAACGTACACTGAGTAAGATAAAAAACCAACCATTTGAAAAAGGCCCAAACCTTGCAATTATGAGAACTCCAACAGCATTAAAACATGAGGACCAGAGCAGATAGAGAAGGTAAACAGAACCTGGGGCAAAACAGCAGGATTGTTACTGGAGGATGCCTGATAAAAACATGACAGGAGAAACCACCATGCAAACCACTCAAAAATAAGAGCAGCAAATGGAGATCGGAGCTGCAGATAAGAACATGCAGAAACTTTCTGAGAGAAATCAAGGAGGAAAAAAAAGTAAAGGCAATTTTTACATAAAGAGAAATCTCAGAGATCCAGATGTGCTAAAAGGCCAGCAGAAAGGAGACGAAAGAGACAAACCTGGAAGCTACGGAGTTCTGGATGAATGGCAAAGGACAGAAAACTGCAGCTCTTTCTCCTTTCCTCCAACACCTCTGCCTGAGGAATGAAGCTCTGGTTGTATGGCAGCATACAACCATATTGCAGCCTTATTGCAGGTGTTTTCTACTCTATAAAAAAAACCTACATCAGAATGACACAAATCATTCCCTGGAGGTTATGTTTCTCCATGTGTGGAAGTATATATCTAGCCTCTTAGCTACTGGTTACCTGATTGCTGAACTGCACTGTTGAAGGTTGGAGAGATTATTTCTAGCATGTCTTGCTGTAGTTTTCAGAGAAGCTGAACGTCTTTCTAGTTCTATTACAAAGAATTAATACCACAGCAAATGAAGACAGAACTGCAAGCAACTACAGTTGTAATTTCTCCTGTCAGAAGAGCCTCAGGAAGGCAAATCATCATCCAAAAAGCTAAGGATACAAACCTCTACAAACGGCATTCACTAAACACGCAACTCATTCTTGCCCTTCCTCTTCCCTACTGCAAAAACTTTGTGTTTGCCATTTTGAGCAGAAATATTAAAAAAATATTTACCTGTGGGAAAGTTTGAAACCTCACATATGAAAGTATATTGTCAAATGGCCAGGTGTAGAAGAGGTGCACAGGCACCTGTGCTGCAATAGAGCTCTTAAATGATTCCTCTTAAACATGTAAGCTAAGTAATCCCAGTTGATATGAAGCAGCACTGATAGCTTTTCTAGTTTTTAATAGTAATGGACAGTACATCATTACTAAAAACATAATATTTTTGCACCTGGGCTCTTTTATGATAGTGTTACTCCTGTGCAAAATTAAATGTCAGCAAAAGAAGAGCGATTCTAAAATGAAATTGTAAAGAACTGTATTATTATGCTGAGGTAGTATGGTGATTTAATATGGTGAGTAGTCACACCTGAGTAATTAAAGAGTTTGTTTTTACAGGGAAGCACTAAGTTTACTAAAGCAAAAGAAAAGTATTTTGTTACAAACAGATTACCTAATTGCTTTCACTCAACTTGGTGCAAACCTTCATATGGAAACTGGGATTTGACAGGAGTGTAGCTGGGAAAAAAAAAGGGGGGGAAAAAAAGAAAGGAAAAACAAGTAAAAAGTTAAAGCAAGGTCCCTAAATACAAAGTGCTGCAGATGACGTCCAGGGCAAAGCCCTTTCTCTGCAGCTGCAATAGGAGCCCAGCTCCTGGCTCTCCTGTTCCATACACGCTGCTGCAGGTGAGGAGCTGGGAGCAGGATTAGGAAGGCTCCACTTCACACTGCAGGTAGGCAGGGTGCTAGCAAGGCTGTTTGACACCCATCATCATTTATAGGCCTGGAGAGCTCTTTTTAAATTCTACCCAACGAATGTAAAGCAGGTGCTTAAGGAATGCAAAACAAGTCACACTTTCTCATCACATCAATGGGAACTGCTGGAAGGGGCCTAATTTCTGGACTATCTGCAGATTATAAACTTTATATCATGATATCTTAAGTGGAGTTCTGGGCTCTGCAGTGGAGGTGGCAATGTCTTTCTGACCAGAATAGGTTTGAGCAGCACAAAATCTCAATGAAAGTATTTGGGAATCTCAGCCCCATAACAGCAGAAAAGCTCGATATCTATAGACAGGTGAAGAAAAAGAGCACTCATGGCCCATGTTACCTGCCCACCCCACAGCTTCCCATACCCAAATCACTCAAATTGGCTTGCAGGCCAACAAGGAAAACATTCCTGTAGAATGTTTTTCCATTTTGTCCTCAAAAAATGAGTTTCCTGTAGCTTTTGTAGCTTCCTTGTTTTCCTTCAGTGCAGCATCCTTTCAGTATTGCTTTGCAGATTTCTTGCATCACTCTATTCATTAGCTAGAAGGGTGAAAAAGAGAATTAGAAGTAAAGCAAAAATAAGGGTCTGTTCCCAAAGCCAGTGAAAACAATGGCAGTCAAAGGAACTGGCACTTACCAAACATTTTATTTTCCTCGGGAGAGTAGAAGGATCCTAGCCAAAGTTCCAGAGCATGAAGATCCTAGTAATTCATTCAACACAACAAAACAGAAATTGACATTGCATTTTGGTTCTTACTCCTTGTTAATTGTGGCACTCACCTCATACTATATTTGAGCTAAAGAGTGATCTTTACTGCATTAACTGAGCACAGCGAGGTCTTTCATCTTTCTATTTCAGGCTGACTACTGTACATACAGTTTCTGACTGCTGAATGCTGAGGGTAACTCCTTTAAAAGATCTTTTTTTTCCCTAAATTTGGAAATTATAAACAGAAGAGCCTGTGATGTAAAGACACACACAGAAGGAAATGATCTGAGAGAGGAGCCTTTAATAAGCTAAATAGGTTCAGTGTAATGTACGTTCATGTCTTAATTTAGTGGATGATTTTGAAAAGAATGAGACTCTCTTTCACTGGTGCAGGCAAAGTGCAGCTAAATTCACCCCCTGCTGATGTGCTGTGGGTAAAATCATCCAGAAATCACTTAATCTGAAAGGAAAAATCCTCTTAGGTATTTTCCCAAAGACTCCTTGAATAGGCTCAGAGTAGGCAATCATACATGGGAGAAAACAGTTTAGCTGGAGATTTTCCTACAGCACAAAACTCCTGCATTTCTTCATTTCCCCTTGCCTGCAAGCAATGGATCTGTCCCCTCCAGCTCTGACAAGTCTTTTTGGGGCTGCTTTATGATATTTTAAAGCTGTCGTTTTGTCTGGGCACCTCACATGGAACATCACACAGTCTGTGCCCCAAGTAGCATGCAGCTGGAATTCAGACTCCATAAATCAAGTCGGAGGAAATCTCAGGAGAGGGAGCTGTCACTTGGGGTCGCATCAGCGAAAAAAAGAACAGCTTTTAAGAAATGGGCATGTTTCAGCCCATTGGCAACAAAAAAAACTGCTCATTACAATCTGATTGAATGTCAAGAACATCTCTGTTTCCATCCCATCTGCTTCACTGCACTCATTCATCAACAGAGAGCCTCCACGTGCCAACCGACAGCATCCACAGTGAACAGGAAAAAACAGAGTGACTGCACACTGCAGCCCAATGGCTCACCCAGCACCCTGCCTGCAGCAAAGGATGGGCTGAGGCTGCAAGAGGCAACTCAGAGATGTCAAAAAACTTAGGTAAAAAAACTGTATATACACACATACTGCTACAACAGTAACCCACCTCACCTCAGCTGAGGACAGTTTTATGCAAAAGAACAGTTGCTCAAATACTTTTTCGGGGGGAAAACCATTCAAGTTCTGGGAAATAGTTACCTTTCCATCTTGCTAGCCCTAGGATAGCTGTTGGGAGCTATCATTCATGAATGCTGTGTCATGGAGAGAATCCTCCAGATAGGGCACTTCAATATCCTTGTTCTTCTTTGAGCATATAAAAGAACTCACAAGAATTACCTTAGTATGAACTTTTATCTCCCTGGTGAGCTAACTGCTGTGAACTTGTTGCTGAACATTACTCTTACTGCATGCAATCTACTTCTTTCCTGGGAGCCTGCTACCAGCTACAGATTTCAACTTCCAACTAGCAAATTTACAGGTTTTTTTGTTTTTGTTTTTGGTGGTTTTTTTTTGTTGTTGTTGTTGTTGTTTTTCCTCTGATGCCATCTAAAATAACTCTTGATTAAAAGGAATCACATTCTGATATTGATTATCTATGCAGCTTGCAACTAGCATTACAACTTTGCTTTGTTTTCATTGTATGCTTGACCTCTGCATTTGAAGGCTTGCAGCACTTCGTACTTGACCTCCATGATGTTTCTGGTTTCTTACTCTGTTAAAGTGACCAACAATAGTTTGTAACACATACACAGAAGAGTCCCCCATACACAGTCCTTGCTGGATGACAGAAAGACAAAGCTCTTTGGCCTGATGTGATACTTTAACTTGCATGAGTTGACTTCATTTTTTGGCTTGGGTTGGTCAAGTGTTACATCATACTGAGAAGGACTTTGTACATTAGTGGCTTATTTGCTGCTGGAAAATCCACATCTGCTGACAGGAATATGAGTGCCATGGACTGGTCAGCAAGTTGGTATTAAACTTCAATAGTGAAGGGCAGGATATTCTTCCTCCTCTCCCATCTGTGAGTGATGTTGCTGATCCACATCCATTAATGTTTTTGCTACCATCCTCCAACAGTGTGGGAAAACAAAAGACAGACTCTTCATGTCAACAAGAAATCTGGAAAAAATACAAAAACAGGGTTTCATAATCAAATAAATGTTTCTGTCCTTATACAGCATAAAGCTGCAGCAAACAAAATGAAATATATTTATGATTCCCCTGCAGTAAACACACTTGCAGTCTGAAAAACACTATCAATATACACAGGGATCATCTACATGTCATTGTAACTGCACGCTGCAATTGAAAAGCAAACAGCTTTTAGAACACACTGAGAAAAACTCTAATTTTAGGCACAGAGAGCATGTGTTCACACTGCCACATGATGGATGCATAATAGTGTGCTCCAGACAACCAACCTTAAAATATCTGAGACCTTATTGTGTTATTGGTGTTTATAGTTTGTACTGTAGTCAAGCCTTAAAAGCCTAAGGCCTCAATTGTGCTGTGGATGGCATAAACAGAGGAGAAAAGACAGTTCTCATCCCATAGATACTGCAGACTGAATGAAACCTCGTCCATCACCTTCTCTCCAGCCTTATAGCTCTTCTCTGCCTTAGATCTCCAGCACATAACCTCTCCCAGGTAGGAATAATGTGCCTTCAGCATGTCTGAACAGCACTGGTTTTTGAATGGTTGGTGAACAAACAAAATACACTGAGAAGATCTGTTCTTTTTTTTTTTTTTTTTTCTTTTGAGAGTGGACTCCAATGGTTTTTTTGGGGTATTTACACTGGGATTGTTTTTTTGGAACCCACAGAAATATAAATCGTAATAACTCACAAATTTTATTATCTGTGCTGTTGTGTAATTCCATTGTAATTCTCTGGAATTCTATTGAAATTCTTCGCACAGATGCCTCTGTCCTTTGCTGGATCTGGCCAAGAATTGAATGTGGGATGATGAGGAGCCTTAATATGATAGAGGAATGTGTCCATCAACACTATTGTGATTCTAAGCAGCCAGACTCTTTTTCAGTTCCTTTCTCAAAGGCTGTGGCAATGAATGAACCAATACTGGAGTCAAGCACAGCAGAAAATTTACTTGCTTCTGATTCTGACTAGCAAAATAACCTTTTCTCATGAATTTTTTGCTGTTATTTTAAAGAGAGTAAAGATTAGGTAAGAAACTAAGTGCTATGGATTAGTTAGGCTTCTACATTTTTATTTTCTCTGACAGAACCAGCTGAGAACTAGTTGATATCAGTGGTGTTTCTGCCTTTTTCACAACTCTCACAGCACTCTGGGGCTCTCTTAGCAAGTGATTTGACATGCCCACCATTCCCAGCCTTCCAGGAGCCTGCCCAATTCTGCTTTTTCCCATTGGTGTCCTTGCAGCTCCTCACTGAGCCTCTTGCCAGACTCATCTGAAGAAAGCTTCTTCCAGGTAGAATCTCACAGTTTTCCCCATTTCCTGCAGGCCTCAACTCCACCTTGAGTGTGAGCATCTTGACATGATATTCATGGCTGATTCTGGTCCCATGCTCTCTACAAGGAAGAACCATCCCAAACGTTACAGGAGGAGCCTGGGCTTGCAGACAGGACAAACAGCACAGGAGCCTGGTGATGCACAACTTCTGGTTCTTCATCACTCCAAATTCATGCTGAAGAGAACTGTTGAGGTCTGTGAGCCAACTCAGTGCCCATGATCTCTCATCCCAAGGGATGTTACAGCAAAAAGCCATTGGTGCCTGCATGGTGCAGATGTTCTGAGTTTGGGAATTACTCACCAAGAAGATTAAAGGTGGTCACCTCAGTTGTGTCTACTTTGTCACAACCCTGAGGGCTGTCCCCAAGTCTCAGGAACAGAGAAATGCAGTTGGTGTCCTGCAGTTCCAGCTGACAGTTCCGAGCTTGCAGTATTGATGTTCCAAGACAGGGAGAGACTAGAGGAATATTAACTCTCCATTAGAGATGCAATCCTGGGATATCTTACCAAGAACCCCCCCAAAAAAATCTAGGCATGAGTGTCCTCTTGCTAAATCTAACCCAAAACTTACAATGGTCACCAACTGTGAGCTGGGTACACATCTGTTCCTCTGGATTAGCTGCAGCCTCCCCACACCCTATATCAGATCCCACAGCCCAGCCAGGTCCATGCCTCCAGCCCAATCTATGGGTCCAAACTCAGCTGCTAGTGCTGCTCTTATTTATGCTGGTCTTCTGCCACTGCCCACTCATTTACTGAAGCAGGCTGCAAGTTGCTCAAACCCACAAGAGATGGCTCTATTTCTCTACCCAGCCCCACCATGATCAATTGTTCCCACCACTTTGCGATTTCTGCAGAACGTGTGCCAGTTTTATTTCCAGGAATGCAACAACACCAACGTTTCTCAATTATTCAGATAGGTTTCAGCTTGTCATCATCTTCCATTCACTTGAACTGTGCACCATCACCCTACCTCAGCTCACTGTTGTGCTGACATGGGTTGTGAGTTTGCTCTCCACTGCAGCACAAAGGAGCAGGATGCTGTTGCCCTGCCATGTGAGGCGATGCTGCAATCCTCTGCATCTGGTTTCTAAACAAACCCTCTACAACAGACCAATCTGTTAAACCTTTGAGAGCCTCATTTCCAGGTTTCAACAACATTCTCTTCAGAAGTGAGCACTTCATGGAGTTCATTTAAGGTTGTCAAAGCCACAACTCGCTGTCAGCACTATTTACCACTTCAGTGGCTCAGCTAAGGCCTCAGCTGCTGCAAGCCAGCTCAGCACTAATAGCAGAGCCCTCCTGATTTACATCAACCTCTGCCAAGCGGACAGCTGTCCTCCACTGCCTCCCAGTAGCTGTCTGTGTACACGTTTGTTGCAGACAACACAAAAGCAGCTTTTCTCCTGCCACCCCTGTCCAGGCCATGTGTTTATGCTGGAGCAGCCAACCACAGCGGATGCCCCATTTTATGCAGTCAGCTGGACCCAGCAGCCTGCTCAGTGCATGCAGTACTTAGGGCTGCCTTTCAGGATAAAATCTGGGATATTTCCTCAGTCTTGCTTCCTTTATGGGCTCTGATCCCTTACCTCTCTGTAAGCCCTCACCTCCTTTTTTGGTAAGTGGACAGAGGGAACAGAACAATCTTGTCCCAAACATCACATTGTAATTCTCCGTGCTTTTCCCAGGCAAAGCAGCTCAGCTCTACCACAGTTAAAATGCTTTTTACCTGTTTATTTTTTCTGTCATTCCTACCCCTACTCCTTTCTGACTCCTCAAAACCTGGCTCCCACAGATTCAAGCCTAAGAACTCCAAACCTTCTCGAACCCCTTCCAGTTACATGTTGACACTACTGACATCTTTGATTTCACACCCTCTATCTTGTCTCAGGCTTCTGCAACACTCAACATCATCTCCAGAGCCTATAGAAAACAAACCACCAGCTCCCCCAGCCAAAGACTCCAATGGCATCTGGTCCATCTGTTCCATGGCAAACTGGCAGCACAACAATAACTTCCAGTAAGCTGAGGAGCGGATGGTTTTAGTGAATAAAACCACTGTGCCTTCTGTCTTTTATTTCAATAGTAAATTTAATTTTATTATCTTTCCCCCAGTTTGCCACAGGATTGTGCTGAGGGCCCTCACAACTAAGTTGCAACATGGGAGGTTTAGACCCTCCCAGTTACTAGGCTGATAAAACACAGTTTGCACCCCCTGCAGAAGCCTGGCTTTCAGCAATGAGCTGGGACTGCATGCAGTGAGCCCCAGACAACCTATTTTGGGAGCTGCTCGCAAGGTGCTGGCAACAGCACAGCAGGCACTGGGAGCTTTGGGACATCAGAATGGTGGCTCTGGTGAGGTTTCAAGAGCTATTCTCTATGCCCTTGTTGGGAGCTGATAGCTTGCTGGCAATTACCATCTCTACTATATTTTCAAGATATTTTTACTTTTAAAATTTTTACTTTAAAAACCGAAATCTGAGACTTCTTATTGCATGCTTCCAGCAGCTGAAGAATTAAGAAAAGCCTTACACGTAGCATGAATGGTGAGAGCTGACAACATGATATCATAGTTTGGCAAGAATCATGGAATCATTGAGGTTGGAAAAGACCTCCAAAGTCATCTAGTCCAACCATTTACCTACCACCAATATCGCCCACTAAAACCACATGACATGGATACTATAGCAGCAAAAAATTGTTTGAGTTGGAAGGGGCACTTAAAGGTCATCTAGTCTGCATCCTGCTTAAGAGAGGCTGGTTCCTTGCAGAGCATTTGTGATTCTAGAAGTTTAGTATTAATTTACAGATCTCACGTTTTTGTGCCCTTATGAGATAATTTTTAAAGATCGTATCAGGATATTGTGCTCCTGCACTGTTTGTTAATAGTTTCCTGCCTCCCTTCAAGAAAAATGAAATACTTCTTCTCTGAGCTTTTCATGCAAGATTTTGCTAAGTCAAAGCAGAAAGGAAAAACTATTTACACTATTTTATTAGGCCAAATGTCAACGTGTTTTTCTGAAATCTTTACCAATCTTCCTGATATTTAATACACAAACAGACATATATATATTTATGGCTTTCATTTCTTGTGGCAGTACCCAAAATATCCAACAGGCTGATGCACAGAGCTGTATTTCTTTCATGTGTAAGAAAGAGAGAGACTAAATGTGCCAGAGAAGGTGGATAGCAGCTGGGTAGGAAGGAAAGGCATGGAATCACTTTGTTTTTGTGAGTCTTTTTAATCAGGTTTCATTAATCTCTGCTGAGCCTGACTACAGACAGCATACTTCCCTTTTGCCAGAACGTTGGTCCTGCCCACAAAAACCAGCTTTTTTTCCACATGAAGAAAATACTCCAGTTTCAAATTCACTCAGAAAACTCACCCTGTTTCCAATTTGGTTCAGCATTATTACACCAGGCAAAAGAAGCTGCACCCCTGCCCACCAGCCCATGGTGCAGGCTTGGAGTAGTTGATCCTACAGCTCTGTGCCTGCCCAGGTCAGCCTCTGGTTCCCAGGAAAACTTTTCTTATCTGCCTACTGAGTTCTTTCTATTAAAGAGAGAGATTTTTTTTTTCCCATTTCTTCCTCACTAGGGCTGTGGAGAGACTTATAAACAATACTCCC